TTTGAATAATGAAGATGAACATAAATTATATATTAGATTTATTAAATAAAAGAAATTTATGAAGTACCAAAAACATAATTTAAATAATTAGGATAATAATGTTGATTTGAATAATGGTTCTTATAACCTCATTAATATGATTGATGATGATGATAATACTAATGTTGGTATTGTTCAGTTACATGATAACAAATAATAATGATGATAATAATCATTATTTTTTTATTTTATCTTATTTGGAACCGTATTTAATGAGGTTGAACCATCCAGCAGAAGTTGTTCATTTGGGACTGTTAACATGTAACAATGCAAATTACAGAAAACATCTTAACTACAAATCTAAATCAGAATCAGTTCATAAAATAAAACATAACTAAAAATACAATATGCAAATTATTGCAAAAGGCAATAAAATTAAATCAAAAATATATATATATATATATATTTTTGATTTAATTTGATAAAGGGTTACGCCCGAAAGATCTCGTCTATTTTCTTAATAAATTTTGAGGCAAATCTATTACCATCTCTACGAGTTTTATATGGTAAATGTGTCACATATGCTGAATTGCTTATTCACTAACGCATGATCTTGTTATGCAGCATTTCTTTAGAATGTGATAGTTCGGTAGTGGTACATATATGTAAGTTTCTGGAATTTGTCAAAAATCCTGTTTGGAAACTTGGCACTTCGCCACAATACTGCTTGTCAATAAAGCGTAGAAATTTGACACAATGCCAGAATATTTACTGTTAATACTATTTTACTATTAAAGTTAATTCATATGAAAATTTATGCTGTAAGATAATTAAAAACAGAACTAAAATTTTCGGTAGACAGACTCTGTCAGTCTCTGATTCAATATTCCATGGTCTGTTATTGTCCACTACTAGTCTAGGTTTTGACCAAAGTTTGGGTCATGAGTGAATTTTTTAGGGTCATCAGATTGAAATTATACAGAAAGTCATATGTGTTAAAATTATATACTTTAAATATCAGAAGATTCCTGTAAAAACATTCAAACAAAACATTTTTAAAATAAAATAATTTTATAAAATTTTGGCTATTGTCTTCTATTTGCGCCTGCAGTGTACTTCAGTCAGACTGGCGTTTGTTTACTAGTGTTTATGTTTCAAAATACACAGAAATATTTGTTTTGTCACTCATTCGCATCCTCAGCTCCTTGTTTATCTACTATTGAGGGACATTTGTGCCTTAGTGCCTACTAAATTAGTGCGCATTATGGAATCAAAACAAAGGTGCTGTCAACCAATGTCAGAATTAATACAGTCAGATTAAACTAATGGAAATCAACAAATCATGAAAATAAAATGGAAAGCTGCTTTAGGTAATTATTTTCTTTAATCAGTATGTTACTTCGGTATACTGTACAGTAGAACCCCTATTAAGGGGACACCTTCGAGACTCCTCAATGTGGGTACCCCTATTCAAAGAACACAAACCAAAGCGTGAAATTGTACCCCTATTAGGGGTGTTGGTATAATGTTATTGACCTAAAAATGAGTTACAGTAGAACTAATTTTATATAAATAATTTTCAATGCAAAATTCATTTACCGGTAAATACGAAATCAGCAGTAATGTAATTAAAACTATAATAGTTATATTATGTTCCCATATTTCCTGATGTGAATTTAATAACCAAATATTCTTGTATTTTTTACAATATTGAGCTTTATACTGGATGAATGTAGCATGAATAGAGTAACGACTCTAAAATTAGGGTGCATGTTGTGATACAGATTGGAATCCTAAAAAGAAATCCCCATGGTTAAGGGATTGACTAGATGTTACCGATGTTCACACTAAGGATTCGGGGGAAACCATTCTGGTTTGATGTGAAGCTTTTGCTCAAAAAGTGTCAAAAGATAAGTTGAAAGATATTTTCATTTCAAAAGTTCACTAATTAAATTTATCACAATTTTGACCTAATTTCTCCTCTTTTTTTTTGTTGTGTCTACTGCCTCAGTGGAGGTTCAGTAGTCTGGAAATTTACTTGTGAGAGTAAATCTGGTGAGGTCATGATGGGATATTGCATCATAAGCAAAGATTTGCCTCACTTGGGCTAGGTTTTACCTTCTTGTGAGATTGGCCTCCTAATTGTGTACTAAACATAATAAGGCAGTAGACTTGAGAACGAAAAATTGAAATTCCTAGATATATTTACAATATTTTCCAATGTATCGGAGATAAGGGTCCACTTTCCACTGAAACGAACCTCCACAAATTAAGTCACGCTATGGGCCTGGGAGCTTTGTCCGGAATAACCTAAACCTCAATATGAGAATGGTCCCAAATTTTCATACTTTTAAAAAACTATTAAATAATTGAAAGTTTCTTGCATAAGGTAATATGTATATTTTGTTTTTTTAACTTCTTTAATTCTGTTTTGTTTTTGATTATTTAAGTCTTTTCTTTTGTCTTTTTTTTTACTTTGATTATTTTGTATATATTTTATATATTTATTTAATTTTTGTAATATAAACTTTCAAACAGCCTTGGGAAAAACAATTAATTTGTGATCGAGTCTTCCATTTTCAAATAAATTTACACGTTGAAAATCAGAAACAGATTACTAAAACTTTATGCAGTTTAAATGATGAATAAATGATTTTTATTACGCTATTTATAATAATGGAAAGTAATTGATTTTTATGTGTCCTATATACCAGCAGTAAGTTACAGTAACAACAGGTGAGGACCCTACTTAATTGCTGTGTGAGTAAACCTCAGTGCCGATTAAAGAGACTAACATTCTGGCTTAGAATTTTGGTGTCAAGGTTGAGCACTTGGGGGAGGGGGTTGTTTAATTAGGTTGTTGGATCATTAACAGGAAGGGTGAAGCCAAGGACAGTCCTAAGAGGAAGCTCATCTTGTATAGTTTTTCATAGACTCAAGGCTTCGTAGATTTTGCCTGAAGTGCAAAGGAAATTTAAAATAATGCACAATAACGTGTTTTGATGTATTACATATGTATTCTTTTTACACAGGGGAATATATAATTTACATCTTAGGCCTAAGTAGTTGCATAACTATGTTAGTCCAAACAATACTAACACGTAATAAAGAGGCAGCTCTGAGACTAATTTTAAGATAATATTTATTCAGGAAGAGCTTTTGTTGTATGCATACTTTTTTTTTCTTTTTTGGCAGGTGGCTTAATCTTGCCGTCAGATAAGCGCCTAGACCCCTCCTTGTCTCCTTCAGACATACCTTGTCTTTTGGGCATTTATGTTCTTAGACATCTTACAACAGCTTAAAATGACCCAAAATTGCCATTTTCTTTGGGAGGCAGAGGGCAGAGATCCCGGAGCACACTTTCTCTGCGGGAAATTGTGCCCTCCTCATCAGGCAAGTCCTGGTGCATCCTCTGTTTGTGATTTTCCCAACCTAGTCAATTACAAGGATTAATAAGAATTGTGAAAGTATAGCACCCATTTTTTATTTTTCTCTCGAGACATGTGAGGGAGTACATGCATGAAGCGTTTTTGATTCGTATAACGATGGTATAACTTTCTGATAATTAATACATCGCGCAAGGACATCATAGTGTCATAATCAGTAACCTTTTCAAGGCAAGCTGTCAGTAGCTTTAGGGAGTAGCACATCCTGTGGATGACAGTGGTTAATTTCATATTTGCTGGGGTCCCAAGTTAGAAGAAGTCATTTCCGGAAGATCTGTTTAAACCAGCTTTCTTGTTTTTGTTTGTTACTAATTTTGTTTTGCCACTTATGGTGACACCAATCAACACTGGCTTCCGTGAGACAAATGATAATAAAGGGGTAACACAGTGGTAAAAAAAAGAAGGAATTTGCGAGATATAGGTTATTTTCCTGCATTTGTTGCTTCCTGGCATTGTATTGAATGTTTAAGTTGTCTACCAACATGAATAGGATAGATAGATAAATACTCTGCCTTTGTTCAAACCTTTAATGGTTGAATGTGTAGAAAGTTGCTGTCACAACACTACACTCACCCTGTCATTATTAGGCATTGCTACGCAAGCAGTTTGATAATAGTTGGGTACCTCCACAACTGAACCACGGTATCTATAAATGACATATTAATTTTATCACATGTGTCTTTACTTGTAAACATATATTTACAATTAAATATATGTCAAATAATTGATGGTAAGCTTGTGTGTTTAATCACGATTTTATTCGGAAGTGATTAGGTTTTGATACTTCAAAGACACTCAGCTTATATCAGACGTTTTGCGGTAGCTTGGTCACATGCTGCTCTGACGTAGCTATGTCGTACTCTATATACGAAAATACAAGAAGTAATAAGTATAGACATATATGTGTCAGTACAGTTTCGCAGAATGTTGTAGAATTTCCTCATCACGTAAACCCTGTCAACTATAAAAATGTAGTGGTAGACTGAAGCCACGGTCATGCCAATTTTATTACGTCACTATATATCCTTTCTCGTTGGAAGGTGATGACACAGTATAAATTTTGACAGGTCAGCATGCTGATTAGCTCACACGTTTTCTCTTGTTTATGATGCGAGGATCGTAATTTCCTTTATGTACCTTAAACATAATGTTAATACATTACACGCTTAAAATTATTGTACAAGGAAGAAAAATGCTTTAAATTACTATACAGAATGAACTTGTGGTAATTCTGAGGAACATGATCGTGGGAAGAATTCACCTGGCATGCTTACGGACTTTCGTAGGGGACCACGACATCGGAACTAATCCAACTTCCCATAGATTATGAACGTTAACCACAGCTACGTGGAGGATGGTTCCTTGTAAGTGAAGGTCATTAACCTCTGAATATGTTTTAGTGAACATTTTGTATGACTTGGTGGCTCAGACGAGTTGTAATATCCTTTGACTTCTTAACATGAATGTCCTTTGCTTTACAAATTAACATGAATGGCCTTTTGCTTTACAAAAACTATGTATTTATTTATCATGTTTTCTCTTTTTGATTTGAACAAATTAAACGAAAATGCATACCTATAATGACAGTTCATTCAATTGGAGTTGCATCCCAGGTGGCAGGATGAAATCCTTGGTCTTTACATTGGTGATTGGTTAAAATACAGTATACAGTAGGTGCAAAGTGGAATGTTCCTAACCGAAAGTGGATGTATGTGATGTAGCGGCCTAAAGGTGCTTTCAGTAGAAAAGTTCAAATCTGATTCTGATCACATTGATTGAGTCATTTTAGCTTTGGTTTTACTCCATCCACGATTATATTGATGGGTATCTGTGAAGAAAAGTGGTCTGATTCTGCAGTTCATATTTTTCTTTCCATATTTTACATGTATGTATATAACTATAAGATTTATGTCATTTTTTTCCATATTTCCAAATATTATTGTAAGTGACACTAGACAATCACTTTGCAATCACGCACACAAAAAGACAGATATCAACATTATAATTTAGAGTATCTTCTACAGATGTAGAAAGAGGGATGTGGGTTAACATTTTTTTAACCTGTTTTACTATTTTTAAATTAGAGCAAACAGGTTCATCTGTGGCACCCCTATGCCTGGAAACCCAGATGGTTATTTGAAAATTATGGGATATTTTAAGAAAAATCTCTTATCATTATTCATTGTTGGACTTACTATGTTCAAGAAGTTGTTTAACAAGCCAATCTTCGACAGCACTGCCAGGGACTTTAAGACCTCCAGCTCATCCCTGTGTTTCCTACGTAGAAAGGTGAAGATTGAGTAGGCCTAGATGACTGTCAGTAATTATTGAACTGACATATATATAAAGGCTCCAATACTGTTGCAGGTAGGCCATGATTGACCTTACATAGACTAGGCTACACCTCATTTTTAACCAATCAAATCATTCCATCTGTTAACCAATCAAATCATTCCATCTATCTTAGATTATCATCATTTAAAGAATTAAAAACTTGTGACAAATCATGATAATCCAGGGATTTAGCAATCTATGTACCTGGGACAATGTCGCATGACATATAAGTGACTCATTTTGTGTGTAAGGTAACTATTACTGTAAGAATGCGTTTACATTAATTATGATTGACGATGTTCCAACCTCCTTGTCTGGAGTATCTACCTTTCTTCTTCTGTCAATCAACTTTATATAGGCGGTACAAAAACAGCAAATTATAATTATTGTAAAATTCAAAATTTTGTACTTTAATCTATGCTCTATGACACCTTCATCCAGTGACATCTGCATCTTGCACTCCCAATGTATTATTTAAGCTATTACGCAATTAGAGCAAACCATTATTTTACTTAATACAGTACAAATGACCATAGCTTAAATCCTTAATGTGCTTCTTCTAGAGCACATTTAAACATAATAATAGCATTTGTATAAGAAGTGGGAAATTATAAAATACTGTGCAATAAACGATCGTCTCTATTTTGAGATCTCCATTGGCTGTTAGCCAGTGTGTTGGGGTCGTGCCAGAAGAAGCACATTTGATAGATGATCTGCCAATTACTAATGACAATAGGATATGGAACAAGGTCGCAAGAAAGTAAATGCTAAATTAGGGGGAAGATTAGGAAGACTTTTAAAGCAGACCGAAAAAACAAATGATAAACAACCTAATTACTACCAACACTGTGAACTGTCAGTTTAAAGTATTTTGCGCAGAGATGTTGACAAAATTTAATAATAATGGATAAATCAACGAGGTCGAATAATAGGCATCCACGTGAAAAGGGTTTATATAGGGACTGTCATGTTGACTTGCTAACTACTTGGTTGATAGAGATGCGTATCGTCTGCACAAGTTGAAAGGGTCAAATTGTTTACTAATTTTGGTCCAAATCCAGATTTTAGTTATCTTCAGTTTCTAATTTTTTGTAGTAGGCATACAGATTTGTGAATTGAAAGTTTTCATGTTTTGCATCTTAAAAAAGAAGATATATTGAAGAACATTTCTATAAAATATTAATCACTAAATCTAACTGAAAATTATCTTAAAATTATTTTTAATATACAAATGCAGAATATGAAAACACCAAAAACTTAATTTTGAATTTTTCCTACAAACAGAGGGTTTTGCCAGCTGACTGAAGATTTATTGCTGGAGAAATATCCCACATAATCTTATCATGGCTGTTGGCTTATCTTACACTATTTTGTTATCTGCTATTAAAATTGTAGAAGATTTAAGGTGGCCCATAATTGCTATGTAACATACAGTTCAGTGTTATTAGTTTGATAGTAATAATATAGTAACACCAGAGAAAATTAATATGGTTTAACATGGTTGAAAGTGAATTCATTGTGCAGAAATTTGTATTTTCTAATTGAATTGAGATTTACATTTGTGATTTTCTTGACCTAACAATTTTTATAAGTAGGCTACCGCCAGATCCGCTAGTATTATGGTACATTTTTGGTATGCTTCATCACCTCCACGATGCATGCATATTATCACTTGTCACTTGAAACTTGTTATACTTGGACGATTGCATTAGATTTAAGTAGTAAATTATACATAGTCTTGTTTTTTTTTATACACTTAAGAGCTGTGCCTTGGATTATGGTCATGTAACAGCAATTCAATCTGTCAGTTCCAACGTCAATGCTTTAACTGATCCCTTCAACTTCACCTGTTTGTATATTTACATTTATATAAGTATTATTCCATTGTCTTGTCTTTACTATAAAAACTAGATTGATGATTCATTCTCTGCTTTAAGAAAGTGGTAGGCCTATAGAATGCATATTATTATTGCATAATATCAAAAGTGAAAGTCTTTCTTTACAATTTTGCTGTTGATTTATATGAACTTATTATGGTATGGGAGCTGTGTTAGTAATTATTTAGCTGAAGAAGTTCATTATGTGAATGAGAGCTTTTGTTTTAGATAAAGTTACACCATTGAGTGCTATTTACCTTGCATTTTTTATTGCACAGAGAAACCATAATATTTTTACTTAAAACTTTGGCAATAGTTAGTCGTTTCCAGTAATTGACTTATCATTTTGAAGCTTATAATATGGATAATATGAATATATTGAAAAGTCCATTTTCTTGTTTAGGTCACTGGTACTGGTTGTGGCATGGCAAGCCCCATATTGAATGATAGTTTTGTACAGCGGCATATCTAGGGGGTGCACACGCCCCTCCATAAATTACTTGCGTCCCCTGAAATTCACGGTCAAGTAGTTGAAAATCACCTAATTAGTGCCCCTTAACTGATCATCGAACCTCCCACTTCACCTTGACACCCCCCCCCCCCATTTGCATCCCCATTTCAAGACTGCCACTGGTTTTATACAAATGCATTCTATAGGTTTAGATTACTGTAATTGGTTTGGTTCATTGGTTGAATAGTCAGTACTAGGTAAAGTCCACCTCTCTAGTAAAGTTTTCATTGTAAATTAAAAATATATAAATAAGGTGCACCATTATGGCCAAATAGTACTAAAACAATACTGATTAGTATTCCAGAGGCCCCTTAAGGTATGGTCCCTGGCTAAGTACTCCTAGTTGTTACATCACTGGTTTGAAAGTTCGAACTTTATTGTCCAATGAAGAAAATATTGTGCAGAATAATTTGATTACATAAGCACATACATTATAAGGATATCAAATTGAAATTTAATCAAATATATCAAAAGTAATGTGAATAAAGGCTTCTTAGTATGACAAAAATCTTTTCAAAATTTACAATAAAAATATTTTCCCTGATTCTGCATTTAAAGGGAAGTGGATGAATGAGATACTATAGGTTTTAACATTTTTTTCCAGATATTTTCTTCAAAATTTTATTTTGCAACTGAATTTTTTAAATAGGTTGGTTTTGAGTGACAGACAGTTTTACTTATCAGCTAGAAAAAGTAGTGCAGAGGTTAAGAGGAAGTAAACGAATAAGTTCATGTCTATTTTAGGTTGCAATTCAACGATTTTATTAATATAATTAACTTTATAAACATGTTTATACTTATAATTTTAATATTTAAAATACAATATTACAAGTAGGCTAGAATTATTAATAATATAGTATGAGGCATAAAGGGAACATTGTCTTTTAAATGATTGAGGTATCTTAATAAATACAAATAAATACTTGAAATAAAATTGAATTAATAATTATTAATAAACTATATTCTAAAAAACAAACAATACAAAGCACACGTAAAAGATAAAAAGTAGTTCGTAGGAAGATTCAAAAGCAGCATATAGCCACTATCATCAACAATGATGTGAACCTCCGCCTGCTATTACTTACAAATATATTTAAATTAAAATGTTTAATTATACTACTTCCGTGACCCCTCCGCTCTCCCCATCGACTTTGCCACTGCAAGAGAAATAGTACAAACTAACTTGAAACCTATCTATAATATTATAATTTTGCCGTTTGCATTACTTTTTTTATTTTTAATATTTTTTTATTAAAATTGATCTTATCAAAATTAATGTTCTCTTATGTGGCTTTAGGTCCCCTTGAAAAATTTGGCATTCATTTAAAGAGACATTGAAAAAAAAAATTACAGAATACAATAAATTAAAGAAGACATGATCATGTGGTATATCTGCTACCATTTCCAAAAACTCAATGTGACAAACTCCAAATATGGAATGGTTAAAAAATATCTCATTTGATTGAGAGCAGATATGAAAAAAAATGTTTAAGATTTATCAAGGTCTTCTTACTTTGAGAACAAATTTAGAAGAACTGGAGCCCAACTTCCTGCATTTTGAGAGGGTATGCGTCAAAGACAAACTGCAGTTTCCTCTGTTTGCTGAAATATTACAATATCTAAAATCTTATTAGGAGTGTTCACAATTATCAACATTTTCAGCAGAGTATAAACCATACGCTTATTTACGCTAGGGCTGAACGCCTATTTACCTTTGAATTGATGTTGGTTTAAATTACTGTGCCATGTTATAAAAAAGTAGTTTTTATGAGTACCAGCCATTAAAATTGAACACCAAGTAGTTTGTTCACTACGTAGAAAAAAAATAGAGAGGTGTTGTAATTATACGATACAGATACAGATACAGGAAATCTTTATTTCATCTATTAAACAGCAAATTACAAGGTTGCAATTATGTTATCGTTCTCAATAACATGATAAAATGTTTGGTTTTGGGATTTTTTTTATTATTTACAATTATTACAATTAAATTTAGACAATTAAAAACATAACTATAGAGATTTGATCTTATTTTTTGTCCCAGTATTGCTGAGAGTGTGCATAAAATAATGTTGATTTTTGCTAAACCTTTTTACATTGAAGTACATTCTTTAAAAAAAAGAGCTGGAGGGATTCTCCCAGTCTAAAGTCTGGCACTCGCTGTGTCGTACGACTGTCCAACTCCGCTCCCTGTGATTGTCGGTGCCAGGGATCATTTAGAAATGATCCGTTGCGCGCGCCATTGCTTTGCATCCTTCATAGAATTGTGTCGGCCTAGTGAATGCCCAGCTTAATGCTCTCTTCATCATCAGAAGAACCCTATCATGGTGATAAATTTTTAGATTTTTTGGGATTATCCTTAATGCGTTATACACCAATGAAATCCAAACCAATCGAAATTCGTTCCAGTTCGACGATCCAGGGTCCTCACTGGAGATTAATAATAAGCATAAACCAAACCACCTTGTTGATTCTTAAGAAAAAATATAAAACTAACTAATTATCACAACAATTGACTAGAGGAAGTGTAGTAAGCATATTGGAGGATGTGTGTCACAATTAGCACTGCATCGGAGCAATTTTTTTATTGCATACTTCCTTTGAGAGAAGCCAAGATGGCTTTGTCCACAAACTGAGCCCAGCTAAAACAGAGGAAGGGTAAATTAGGATACGGCTTGGGTAAAACGACTTTTGGAACTATGCCAAATTTTCTGTCTCCACCAAAATGTAAACAATGTACAACCTGGTAGCTTTTTGATATATGATAAAATTCCCTATGCATTAAAGGTGTTTTCGTCGGAAACCACACTACTCAGATCGTAATCAGTTGTTTGTTTACTTTCTTTTTTCGTCTTAGTGAATATATTTAGCTTCCGTAACTTGTTCTCTCAGATGAATTTATATATTATAAAATAATCAAATAAAAATATTATTAGAAATAATTCCCATTGTTGAACAATATTATTTTAGATACATTAATTAGGCCTTTATTTTATTTATTTTAAAAGTTCACATTAATATATATACCATGTCATGATAATTAAAACTTATTTAAGTTCTTGCTCAGACTCATTAATTGTTACATTTAAATTTATTATTCTTATTATTATACAATGTAATTATAAACTATGATGAAATATAAGAATTTGTGTTTGTATAGTAGACTACTAAATAATATAGATATTATTATTGTTAATATTATGTATGTATATTATATTCAAAAACCCTTGTGTTTCATTCCCATTTCATGCACATTGTCCTTAAAATGGAAATCGAGGGTTCATTCAATATTCATCCCCTTAATTAAGTATCCCAAAAGCAGGATATTATTTAAGTGATGGCCTGTCCTTAATGACAGGTGGGTGACACCACGCTGACCATCTGCGATTGTCCACTACCATCTGTTTGAAGGTCAGATGCCTTCAAGGCTTCTTTGCGGACAACAATTAAGTAGCTTTCTCAGAAGGTGATATTTGTGCTTATATGTACATTTGGTAAACAATTATTCGTTGATGTAAATGTTGCTACGCGGCACATCACAACCATTTAAATGATTAAAGATTAGGATGTTTACGTTATAGCGTGAAAATGGTTTATCACTAATATGGAACTGTTACTTTCAGTAATTAATACTGGGCTAATGTAGTTTATCATAATTTCTTTTATTTCACAAATAAAGCAAAAAATGTATATACATATTTTACATAAGAAACATTTGCATAATTTTCACCTGAAATCACCTGTTACATAATGTAATTCTTAAGAAGAAATTTATAAAGAAATGAAAAAGGAATGTTAAGGTAGAAAAATAATTTTCAGGAGTTTTTTTACAGGTGATAGATGAAATAATTAGTTCTCAGAAAAATAAGTGAAGCAAAATCAATAGTTAATAGATTGCACTTAACAAAGCCTAACATTCTAACTTAAACCTTTGCAATTAATAGTCTAATATCTAATTTGAAATTATAGTAATGAAGTAAAAAATAACCTCTAGACTAAAAGCATGTTCAGAAAATTAATGCAAAATGATATTCATAATTTAATAATATAAACAGTTAGAATAGATTTTTGTTTTAATTTTTACTGATCAACAGTTCTAAAAAAAAAATCGCTTTATACAATTTTTATTTTCAGGGAAAACTCTACCAAAAAAAACAATAGAACAATAATTGATTTTGGAGGATAATCATATTCTGATCAGGCAGTTTTAAATTTGGAATTTTTTTGAATGTAATCTCTTTTGTTTATTAAACCTAATGTAGAAATATTTCCCAACATATATACTCCATATATTTAGAAATAGTTAAAGGGAATAATACTATTTATGTTTTATAATAATTATTTCAGTTAATATAAAAATTGAAGTCTCATTTTATTTGAATTTGTATAATAAAATAATTGAGTTGTATCACAAATAAATTTGACTAGATTTTTAACAGACAATCTAATGTAAAAAAAATAATCACAGATCTTGTGAAAATTTGACTTCCATGCTGTATCTTCTCCACAACGTTTTCGTGTTCAATGGCGTATGTCAATAACCTCATTCTACATCTATCGCAACTATTTTAGATTATACACACGCTCCGTTATTCCTTCAAATGTTTATTTAATTAAATGGTACGCTGGTCTATAATTTCCAATGTTATCTATGGGTTGATCATACGCGAAAGTCGTGCACGTTTCCTCCCTGCCAGGCAGTTGCGAACCTCTTTAGACTTGAGCCATTTGCATGTGCCTTCGGTGGTACGGAGACAGCGTGAGTAGATACTCTCGCAATCGATATCGCCGTACTTCATGCTGGATAGATCCCACATGCAGGTGTTGGAGTCTGCTTGATTACACGATGTTTGATCATAACATGGGCTGATCTGTAAAAGAAAAATATTCCCTTTTATATACTAGTATATCCAGCATCTTTCGAGCAATCTCCCTCACTTTTATGCAGATTACAGTGAAGGCGGGCACTCACTGCAACGACGAATCCAACTCCGCTCTCTGTGAGCAATAGACGACGCAGCGCTGTCTGCTGATTATCGGTGGCAGTCTAAACTAAAAAAACGATCGTTGCGCGCATTGCGTTTTATGTAGATTCGCGTCAGCCGTTGTGCGCAGTGAGTATCCGGCTTAATGCTACCCCAAATTAAAGACTAAAGCAAGATATTTTACAAAGAGCACAAAAGACAATTTTCACCATTTTCATCCATTTATGTAAATTAGCATACAATTTTTGTAAATTAGCTTATAGTTTATGTATATTAGCTAGCATATTTGGTAAAATCACTAATTAAAGTGAAGAATTCTTCCAAAAAAGATTTTAATTATTATTATAAGTAAACTATATTATATTTTATCTAAGCTTAGACTCATTCTTGATGTTGAAGAATGCAAATATTTTCTGATTGAAATAGATTCAATATCTCTAGCGCATTTTAATTGGCACTATATAATTAATCAAAATATATTTCTATTGTTCAAATAAAAAGAAAAATTTCTGTACTCACATTACAGGAATTGCAGTATTGTTTGTACATGTGACGAACTCCTTGCCTCTGTTTTCGTGACAGTTTCTTGTATCTAACCACCCAGTCGCAACTCTTAATCTGAAACACTTTCTTTCCCTTACCTTCAATTTAAAAAAAACATAGAAATGTCAAAAAATTATGTATTTCAAAATTTATATTATATTAAATTTGAATGGAAAAATTTTAAAGTAGAACGTATTTTATTAAAATATTTGATGTAAATAACTCAAAATCTATTAAACAGTGTTGCATTGAATAGAAAAACATTGCTGCAGTGATTAATCCTGGTTTTGCTTCTGGTAGTTCAACAAATGTGGCAAAGACAAGCCAAACCAGTCACTCGTCGCAAAAATCGATTTTGAGTTATTAATACAGTGTTCGAGAGTAAAATAATAGCTATAAAATGGTAAAAAAATCATTCAAATCGGACATTTCCTTATGAAGTTACAAGTGTTTAACCACACAGCTGTTTAAAGAACAATATATGAGAAATTAGCCGTCAACGTTTATGATTTCACGCATTTCTCATGCAGAAACTATCTTTAAATCCTTAAAAAGTATTGTTTTAGCATTGAAAATGGAGAAAATAACAGCATAGAATGATGTGTAGATATATAAAGGTTAGTTTAGTGCAATAAAATAGATTTTTTTAAATTTGACATTCCAGCATGTTTTGGCCATTTTCTCTGAAACACGATTTGCGACGAGTGACTGGTTTGGCTTGTCTTTGCCACAAATGATATTGTACTTGTTTTGTACTTAAAAAAGATAACAACAAAAGCATATTTTATATGTGATTATGTCTTTGTTTAATAATTTGGTCCCACACACATTATAGCTAATATCATTTATTTTTGATGATGTAGATATAATGATAATGAAGATGCTAGTTCAATACAATAGATATATCACTCTGTGGAATGGCAAATATCTAAGCACTGTTAGATATGATGGGTTGTGTTATTGATCAGGAAGGTAGAGGGGCACACTATGTTTGGGAGTGTGGCAGGGTTGATGACTAGTCACACTTAATGGAATGGTTAAGACAATAAATCAATACTATGTTGTGTTTCAGGCTCCAAGTTGAGAAGAGGGCAAAAATAATGAATGTGGCAAGGTCTCCATTGTCTCCATACCTGCGAACAGATACGTATCTCGTACATTCAGATCATTAACCGCACAGCTTCTTTCTTCCTTTGCCGCTGTTATGTCGATGTTCGTTTGAATCTTCATATATCTATGCCCCTTAAAGATCCTTTCAACGGTAACGTTGTAATCAATATAGTTATCTCCACTGTCAAGTTGGTTATTCAGCGGCGAGAAGCTGTCCTTTTTTCCAACTATTCTCCCTCGGATAACTGATGAATCAAAATTTTAAAAAAAATTTGTTTAGTTGTTTATTTTTTATATATTACAGCTAAAGATTTTCTGAAAAATAGTTTTTAGTTGTGTTTACACATTTTTGTTTACATTTTAAGTTTAAGGTCAAGCCTAATCCAACAGGAAAAGGTCTTTCATACATTCATTTCCCGGTCAAGCTACGTTTACAAATTAAGATTAATTACAGAACAATTTTATGCAAATCAGTAAAAATAATAAACATTTTTTTTTTTTATCTATCTACTTTAAATTAAAGCAGAACACTCAGAATGTATATATTTTTAATAAAACAATCTAATAAGATTAATAAATAGTTATTCTTACTGAATTTATAAGCATTCAATTGACATTTATAGTAAAACAAAATATTTTTCTCAAAAATAGATGCTTAAATTCTTACTTCTTTGTATAGACCTTAAACATGGCTGGCAGGAAATTTTAATACAATCAGTGAAAACATGATTATCTCATTGGTTAATTTATATCTTTTTTTATTGTATTACATGAGGAATACAATATTTTAATCAACTGGTTTTTTTTTACTAGATTTATTCAAATCTTGAATGTAAATTGTCTGAAACAGAGTACTATAGATTATAGTTTATTAAAGTTAGTAAACAAAAACCATTTTAAAAATATTCTAAGATATTAAGCAAAAATTAATATACCTTAAAACAACCTTAAAATGACAATTAACTATTTTTTAATACACAAATTCTGGAAAGAATTATTCATTGAAAAATAAATACATTAATATTATAAATAATATATTTTCTTTGTAAATTATATAGTGCAAGGATATTTTGGCAGACACAACAATTAAAGCAGTTAACAACAATTAAATTATATTTAAAGAAACTTTCCAGAATTAAATGTTAATTATTTTATTTAGTTATATCAAGATGCAATATCCATTAGGAAAATTACATGAAAAATAATATTAATACTTAATATTAAAAGAATAGTGTATGACTATATGGTTTTCTTAAGTACATTAAAAAAGTGAAATGGTGTTTACCAAAGTCTGCGTCACAGAATTGTTGTTGCGGGTGAACCGGAAAACAGTTACATCCATCTCCTTGCTTCGCTCCAAAAAACAAAATCAGAAAAGATGAGAATAATACTAGTGATCCGTACATGTTTATTTTGTATGATGAAAGTCTTTTGTGTGTGTCACCTGTGCTATCGCATGTGGTCCAAACAGTTTTAAACTCTTTACTCTTCTGCTGTTCGTGCCACTTATGAAGTTTGTAAGTTGCTGTTAGAATAAATGAACATCCTCCCTCGAGTATGGCTCTGTATTGTAGTGAGATCGGTAGGAAGTTGATATCAATTATGAACTATCTTCTTTTATTTTGCACCCCGGATTATCGGATTCTACACCATGATTGGCAGGTTCAATTTTTAACAGGGGTCATTTAATGTCAAATATTTGAATATCAATTTTTCACATATATTTTAATTTATCTAATTATTTGTTTTTAACCTGCATAATTTATGTAATTTTAAATACACTATGACCAAATTTATGAAATGAAATTTATTTTAGATGGAAGTATAATGTGTAAATTGGAAATTATATATTAAAAACATATAGAATAATAATACAAAATAATATCTAAAATAAATATTCTTGTTAAAATACTGCATGTATAGATATTGATAATAATAATATGTCATATTGTATTTTACTAAATTTATATTAAATAGTGGTAAAATGTTTGCATTAAAATTTTACATTATAAAAAACATATGAACAATATTATATTTAAAGATACATGTTGAGAATGGACTTTGATCATGGGAATTTGTAAACATTTCAATTGAATTAAATTTGTATATTTATGTTAGCAGTATAATAGTAATATATAATTTCTATTTTTAATATTAAAGGCCACACACATCAATATAGATCAATATATATAGATACCAATCTAGATATTTTGGTCAGAGGGTGGAGTTCATTAGATGGAATATCATAAAAGTGATTTCCTTTGGTGGAGGTATTTCTCATTTAGGCAACGGGCTTCCTGTGATCCAACGTGCGTACCACATGCTAGGACCAAAATGTTTCCACAGAAAAACAATATCCTTAAAAGTACAATAGAGATCCTCTTTCACTGGAAAATGACAATTCATACTTTTGCATCTAAGGATTTTAATTTATTAGAAAAATATCTTCACTTTTCACCTGTTGTATGATTAGATCTTTGAGCTATTTACAAATTGCTATGATAAGATTGAAGTAATTGTTAATGGAAACCATTACAATTTAATACCTCTCATCTTTATTGTCTTTGTTGTTATTTTATTGTGGTATGGTCCTATTTTTGTTATTAAAACTTCATTATGAGGCAAAGGAAGTGAGAAGCCTTATCTTTTGGAAACATCTTTAATTGTTCCCTTTGTTTATGTTTCCAGAGTTATTTTAATTTTAGCATGTTTTTGTTACTAAGGGAAAGTGGCATCATTAGTAAAAACATTAAAATTATTAGGCTAGCTAAGAGTTTGCTCTTGAGCAATAACAAAACAATAAAATCCAATCTGAATTTGCTTTGTGCACAAACCTTTCATTGGCATATAATCATTTTAAAGATTTTATAGTAAAAATCTCTAAATTAGCACAAACACAGAAGTTGCTCATTAGAATTTAACTTACTACATTTCTAAAAGTTTATTCCAGATTTTATTATAGACAGCTGTGGATTCCAATAAAACATATTAAACATCTGAACTTTTATAGCCAGTTTTATCAAATAATAAATAGTCTAATTTCTAGGGTGTGTACTATCAATACAATTTTTGCGGATCAAGTGTTATATTTTGGACATTTCCATTTAAGCTTAATGCGCAAAATGTAATCAATGAAAATAAAGTTTCTAGGCATAGTATTTTCTGCAGTGAAGATTATTTCTTACTATATATATAGGTCATATATTAGAAGCTGTTTCTGCATTTTAGGAATGGAAATTTATTCTTCCATATTATTATTGATTTTGTGTATGAAGACAGAAACCACATTCATAGCCCATTGACCAAATTATAGCCTCTCCCCAGCAAGTTTTAAAAATATAGCAAGGTAATTGATCAGGCTGCTGTGTGGATTGCTATAAACAGTATGTTTATTCGCTTTTAGCCCATCTATAATCCTGATTTTGATTGTGGTCTACTACGGTCTAATCAGCTATAAGCGTGGTTTCTTTTATTGGTAATCAAAATGAGGATATAAAACAGAATTTTTATTCCTAATGTTTATTCTTCAATTAAAGTTTTGCAATGAGCAACACTCAATGTGTGAAAACCACAGTCAATTTGATTGTTCGTTTTTCAATAATCGATGTCTTAGGAAAGAATTATAGCAGTGGTCTATCAAGATTTAAAAGGTAGTTAAAAACAATGGTAAAATGCTAAAATTAACATTTCATTAGAGCATTCATATACTGAGGTTAATTTATTCAAAAATATCAAATATATATAAAAAATTGCTCATTTGCAACAAGAGAGCTGACTTAAAAATACTGTACAATTTAGTTGATGAATAAAAAATATTTACAATATTTACACATTTATTAAATATATTATTGTTCGTTATAAATTCAGTTGTTTCATCCTGTGCTGCAGTTTTTGTATGTTTTTGTCCTTGAATAAATAAAAAATATAAATACTGAATGAATAAAGATAATCCCCGAAAAATAGATATTTAACTATTTTCCATCTGTCCGTAACCTTGTTATGCATAAAAGTGGTATTAATGATCATGACCCTTCAATATTGAAACAGCGTAAAAAAGGCGTGTATGTTTTTGCAACAAATTGATCCCCGAGGACGAACTTGTCAAGCGCAAAATTACCCAAGATTTCTGTTGGAGTTTGATGACTAAGGTCTTCACACTTGTTTTCAAAACTTCAAGCATTCTCAGGTGAAGGTCAGAGGTTAATTCAATTCAAAGTTAAATAATTAGCAAGGTTTTCCTCATACAAAATTGTAATGTTAAATTATTAAAAAATTAGTTAATCAAAATAGTTAAATTTTATATTGATTTAATTATACATGGCATGACACAGTTGTTTTAAACTGGCAGTACATTATAAATTTTTATTATTTAAAATTTTTATAATTACTATTGTTTAATTATAATGTTTTTTAGGCTGATTTAAATCTATTTCTGTGTATGGTGGCTCTGAAGACTTTATGTTAACAAATAAATATTAATATAAGTAGTATAAATATTTGTATTAGCATATTGATATTTAAGTGATACCATTTTTTGTGTACTTTTTCTTGTATGTTGTCATAATGTTTAACATATCATGATCTAATACCATAACTTGCTTTTTTTCTTTCTAGCTTTCATATTGCTTAAAATAATTAGTTTGTTTTTACATTTTCAACTAATCTAATTGTATTTTTTGCAAATATCTACATATCATAACTTTGTACTATAAAATTGAAAATGTCTAACTAGCATTTTAACTGCTCTTGTTTGTATCATAGATTTGATGGTACTTAGTAATGATTTGTTTGTTAATTAATGACCAATTAACTTCATTATCTTAATCTCTTCTACAATGGCTTACATTGTTCATGTTTGTTTGGTTTTTAACTATTTATAATTAAAGCCCTTTTTTGTATGTATTTTTATCTAATATGCTAATGTACTTATTCTTATATAGTTGCCTAAGCTATTGTCCATACTTTTCAAATATTTTAGGTCCTAAATTATACAGCTTGCAATTTCATCTTTGCATCCTCTATATAGAATTTTATGCATTCTGAAATTTAGCATGCATTTTTAGTGAAAATTTTCTTTCCAAGAGCTGCATAAATACACATTTTTGCAAGGGAAAAGATCAAAGGTGGTTTAAAAATTGTTTATCCCGACATAGTCTTTTTTTTATAGTATGCCTGATAGAAGGTGCTGTTTATCCAGCAAACAAATTACTCTGCTCGAAATAAATAAAATATATGATAAGCTTTTTTATTTTAAGGGTAGTTTTGCTTGGCTTATCTCTATTTTATCTTGTTTCTCTTTTTTCTTTTTTTTTTCACATTTCTTTACATTTCTAGACCCTACGATCTGGTCAATTTCGAGCTCATCTAATGCAGGTGAAGATTTGCATGCAAATAATTATGCACGATAGACACCTGTCTAAAATCAAGACTTGCATTCACACTATTTCTTGAGCTTATTAATCCATTAAAAAATTTTAAAATAATATATATATTTTAATTTAAACAGTACATTTCAATTCATATAACTAAAACTACCTGTATTCCATTTTAAAATTCAAATTTGAAACATTGATTTTTAAATATAATGATATCAGGAAAAATTTTTCATCTATAATATTTCTTTATAATAATTTATATTTATTTATCTTATTCTTAATCTGCTAATGTGCTAATTTTAGTATTCTCAATCAAATTATTTTTTGATACCGGTAGTCAAACATCCAACCAAAAAATAGTATGATTTTTATAATTTAGGATAATTGTTCAAAATCTTCTTGAATGCAAGTCACAGAAATGCAAGCTTATCTCCCCACCCATCATTCCCACCCTGGTGTCAGTTCCCTACCTCCTCAGTGTTGTATAGGTAAAAATTGTTTAATACCAAGCCATACCCCTCTGTATTTTACAATGATTCAGTTTGTTTTTGTCCATTGATTGTGTACTAAATATAACCTCTAAGATCAGTAAGATCAGTTTTGGCTCCATGCTTTATGTACTAGATAATTTCATCTGTGTTTTAAATGTTTATACAATGTTAGATTATTTTGTGATTAAACCTAATTTTTATCATTAATATTGGATGATATCCGATTGAAACATTGCAGGTTTAATTCCAAAGAATCAATCATAGTATAATTTGGTTTAATGTTAATTTATGTCTAGTCTCATGAATGAATTCGTAAAATCATCTAACCATGGACCTTATTAATAGGTTCATGATCTAACCAGCTGTCAGAATCTATATCAGTTAATTTGTATGCATATTCATTTAAGTAATTTGCATATGCCTAACTACAACATGAATATTCATAGTGGTAAAAAGTATAGAAATTTTACACCCACCAATCCTGCTATCCATATTCTGTATCTGTACCATTGTTTTCACATTGTAGTGTCTGTAAATATGTATCTAATTATTAGACCTTATTAAAAAGGACAAAAGTTGTGAAAAAGTAGATGATATAAAGAAAATTTATAGTGGGTTTGCATTATTGATAAATGAAAATAATATATTGACACTTGATTGAAGCTCGATAAAGTTCATAGAGATTTAGGTAAATATATTGGGAGCTGTTTTTGAAGCCATGATTGCACATTGCATGCTAAAGTTTGCATGGCAAAAATATTGTTGACAAAACTGAATATCAAAATAAGTGTAGGTTTATGTGCCATTGTGTTGTATTTTGTTGATTGTTTGACATTGTAGTTCGTTGACCGCAGTTTGTATTTAGCATTTCAGCAAGGATGCATTATGTACAATATCTAATTAGTTTTTTTAGGTGTGTTTCCATCGAATAAAAATATTAACTACTTTGTTGTTAGGGCTTGGTGATTAAGCTATCCTCTTTAAAAGGGTCTGCACCCACCCCTGCCCTCATGAAGGCCCTCATCTACTAGAAAATTTGCTCAGCTAAAAAATTCACTTGTCTAGTCATGTAATATTAACTCATCAGCCCCCTTCCCATGTCACCCCTAGATATTCCACTGCTAAAATTTTGTGGCTGCTCAAAAGTATATATATAATATATACATATACATATATATATATATATATAATAGATAGATCTGGTATAGTAGTATTAAGAATTTTTTGTATATAGATACATATAAATACACAGAATAAAGTAAAAATGTTTTTGGTTACTATGAAATATTAATTTTAAACTCAATAATATCTGGCAGATTTTACATTTTCAGCAAAGTTTTAAATTTTAATTATATTTTATTTTGAAGGTATACATTCTATTATGAAGTATTAAAGCCCCATTCCCGGCAAAATTTCACTAAAAATGACTTTTTTTAGAAAATATGCATTTGCATTACTCCAATTATTATAAATCATGGAAAAATATTGGCATGAATTTTAGTTTTACGCAAAA